CAAATGAGCAGGGCTAGCTCTGAAATATCAGCCTTAGCTTTCCAAGGCCCTTGGGGTCTCTATTTTTCTTTTCTTTTCTTTTCTTTTCTTTTTTTTTTTTTTTTTTTTTTTTTTTTTTTTTTTTTTTTGTACTGGGGCAACTTCAAGAGCCAAATGTGGAGACAAACCCCTGAAATTACTCACTCCAGTACAACTATAGCAGCTACTCAAGGAGAATTTCATAGAAACACAAATATGCTGCAGCAGTGACAGGGGTGAGGCACAATGAACTCTCCTCATCAGGAGACATCCCCTGCATCAGGAGTCTAAGAAGAAATGAACAAACTTCTAAGGCCCTTTGAGTTATTTCAAACACCAGGATTTCCCCCTTGGAACACTAACAGCCTCTGGGAAATTGTGAGCACGATATTGTGCCTAAATCTCACACAAACTAAGAAGGAAGCAAACTGTAAAATGTTCTGAGTGTGCTCAGGAGCAGAGGGGAATACAACAAACCACTGAATTTAGACAACATATCTGCTACTGCCTGTACAATTAAACAGGTCCTCCTTTAGGAATCCTTTCCCTAAGACTGCCATCCAAAACTCTCAGGAAAACTTAACAAACACATCCTGCAAATCCATAGATGTCATTTAGATTTCTACTTAATCCTTGATAGCAAAGTATTTCCCAGTTTTAGTTGTTAAAATTTACAACTGACATTTCAGAAAATGTTTATTTTATCACGTCCTACCTATTTTTCTACTAAAGGCAAAGTTCCTTTGGTCAAAGAGTACTTTTATATGCAAGAAAGATGCTTTGTACTAGAAGTAAGGCTCAGGCAGGCCAGAATATGTACTCCATCAACGGAGACAATCAGTCTTTTCTTGCAGACCAGCTAATGATTATGAGAAAGCATTGATAATTCATCCACTTTTCCAGAAAATAAATATTTTCTGCCATTTCTGCCTACCACCTTTGCCACAAAAAAAAAGCTGTAGCTATGCAAGCTCGTTGGAAATGTGGCAATACTTCCTCTTGATCATATTTAACTCGAGATCTAAGAATAAAAAATGCAAATTATTCTATTTGAATCTAGCTCGGACCCATGCTAGCTAGCAGGCTCTGGAGAACAACAGATCACAAACACACACTGTGGTTATTTGTAAATACAGGGAAAACATTACCTTTAGCACAATCTGCTCCATGAAATCCTGGAAAACAGTGGCAGACACCTGACACACACTCGCCATTCCCATGGCAGTGACGTGGGCAGTCTTGCACCGAGTCTGAAATTAAAGCATCACAGGCACATTAATTGGTTGGTTCCTATTTAGGCTAGAGATTTTTTTGTTTAGTTTTTCTGCATTTTAATTTGTTCTCAACACTTAGAAGCACAACTCCTAATGATATTAACACCACAAGGTTCAGGTGAAGCAGCGAGTTTGTGACAGCATGAGTACATGTAGAGATCAGTGACACACTAAAGTCACATATAAAGTTCTGGGCTGTATTAGAACCTGAAGTCTACTGACAGTGCTCAAATCCACTCTTCCAAAAATAGGCAGGGGATCTTAAAACCTCTAGAGCCATGTTTGAGTTTATACTGGGTAGCAAACACAATGCTCAGGAAAATCAACGCTCTCCCTTTTGCAATGAGACTTTGTTCTTGTTCAACCACTCCACCATGGGAAACTGATTATCCCAAGGACTGTGCCTTCCTTTCCTTCTACAGGCATTTGAAGCCTCCTTAATTATGCTGACAAAAATATCTGCTGAACATGACAAAGAGGAGCTCTTTTGCTCTGGCAAATCTACTCAGTCCTTAAAAAAACTGAATGAAAAAGGTGCAGCTGGCTGTGCAAGAGGATGAAGAAGAGTTGTGTAAAAAACAGAGGACAAAGTTTAATATCAGAGTTTGAGTGACTGACTGAAATGTTGATGAGTTCAATAACATGAGAAGAGTAGACACATCAGCCTGATAACATTTCAGCTGTACCAAAATGCTTATTTTCCACTATTTCTGTTATCATTTCGATAAAGCAAACACTACTTTTCATTATAACAATCTAAAAATAAAATTCCATTTTTGAAATGAATTCTTAAAATTGTTTTAGTTTGAAAGCTGTTGGATTTCAGTGGAACATATTTTCAACAGTGAATGATTGGAATAAAAATATAATTGGAATATTACTCTTCACTATCACTCCCTGTTTTTGTGGGACTGGTGGTTCCAAACTAAATGATTCTGTCAGCCCAGGCACCAAACCAGGCACCAAACAGAAAAACAAATAATTTTGGAATAAAGGTTTGGAACTAGCAGAACTATAAAGAGTATTTTTATTTGTCAAATTAAACTGTAAAGAAGAAAAGGATTCAAGTAGAACTTTAAATCTAATTTCACAGTTTCAGGACACCAAATACAAAATGTTTAAAGCAAATTTTCAAAGAGATGTCATTAGCTTGGCTTCTTGAAATGATTCATGTAAACAATGAAAAGAAAAATTGAAATGCAATGCTCAAAGATATCAATTTGTCTCATGAAGAAGCTTGTTTATAGATTTATTCATTATTTTGCTTCATGGCACACAAAAGCCTTTTCTATGTATTCAAAATCGTGGTAAATTTAGTATTGTCTGTGAGTTAACATAATTTCTGTTATTCTTCCTCCTCTTCTGCACCAGAGAGATGTTCAGCTGCTGCAGAGCCTTTCATTATGAAGCATCTGATACAAGGTGTGTGTAGAACCAGGTAAAACACTGTATTTTTCTCTAGATTTCATTTCAATTACTATCATTGCTCTATCAAGTAGCCTACCTGGCTATTACACCTTTGATGCTCTTGAAAGCTATAGCCCTGACCAGGCAACTCTTTAAAGGGCAGCTTATAATATCCTAAGGTTTTCTAAGCACAACAGGGGCATAACAAGATAGAAGGACAAATGTTCTTGTTTTTAGAGAAGTGGAAAAAGCCTTCTATGGGAAAACATGCAAAAAAATAAATTTGTTTGTTTGTTTGTTTTTCAACATTTGTAGGAAAGTGTTTCTTTCATCTGAATTCAGGGTAACAAACTATTATGTCTGCACTTAATGACAGTATTGATTTTCCACCTACACCCTTTGGGACTTAAGCCAACAAACTGAATGTTATACTAATGTAAAATGAAAAACATCTAAGCTGCATATGATTAATAAGGCAGGCCTAGAAAACACCTATGACTACGTTTCATCAAATCTAAAACCTCATTTTTACTTTTTACATTTTCCCTGAACTAAGAGCAATTACATATTTATACAACATAGAGCCATTTAAGACTTCACCAGCCAGGACAGAATATCACATAGGATACCTCAGAATTTGTTATACCACTGTGAAAAGATACTCAGCAAAATTCATTAAGAGCTTCAAAGGTCAACAAATCTAATAAGGTTGGAGAATTTAGACTCAGTTTGATTTTCAACTGAATGTAATCCTATTCTAACAAAACTGCAGCTGGATGTTCTTCAGCCACGTTGAGGAGATGACTCACTATTAGGTGAGTGGTAAGCTGTAAAACAACATACAGCTAATTAACTGCCTCAATTAATCTCTAGGGTGGCTGCAAACAATAATCTCATTTGCAGGTATCAGTTTCTTGAGCTGTCTTTCCACCAAGATTAAACAGCTCTCCTGTTGGATACTATTCCACCTGAGTGTAAAGAAGCTTCTTCAGAGAAGCAAATAAAAAATATCAAAATGACAGAGATAAGGGAGAGGGATATTAGCTGGGGAATGCTTCAAACCATGCTGAACTTTTCTGAGTCTTGTTTTCCAAAACTAAACTCAAGATCTATGGGAATGCTAAAATATTAAGAGAAAAATGAGTGATTTGAAGTCAGCACACCCCATTACTGACTCTTTGCCAGAGCAGTGTTGAGAAAAAAAATGCACAGCATAACGTAAGGGCAAACAGGCCAAATACTGAGGACTACAGGAAAATATTACAACTTTGGGTAAGGGAGGATATAAACAGAGAGGAAAAACGGCCAGCTTATGGAAATACCTACCCAAAATGACTGTACTGAAGGAGACCACCTCTTTGTCCTTGCCATCATTGTAGAAGGCCAGGTGCCACAAACCCACATCCAGGTACTGAACGAACACGGCCTCGTTCTGAACCAGGGTCTGGATGCTCCGCCGCTCCCGAGGAGACTCCACCACACTCCACTTCTCTTTGCCATCCAAACGCTCCATGAAATCATACTGCAGGGAGGAAAAAAAAACAAAAACAAGGGAAAAAAAAAAAGAGAACACAAACAAACAAAACCCCAAAGAAACAGACCTGAATACAGAATGTTTTGGCTCAAGATCTGACTCTCTGTTTTCTCCTCTACCTTGTTATAAAATGGTATTTCTGGGAGAAATGTGAAACTAACATTTACTAGCTGACCATGGAACATAAAGAGGTTCTGTGACTTTTATTCTTTCTTGAATAGTTCCCTAGAATTATGCATCTTCCTTCTGCATAGGGGATCATATAATGTACAAACTGAAAGGATGGGTTTTGAGAAAAAATTTGGGATCTATTATTTGACCCATGAATTGTAGGTTCTTACACAGCTTTCAGAGACCCAGGAGACCCACACCCTTTTCAAAGCAATCACCTGTAAAAAAATCATCCTGCAACAGGAACTGACATCTGAGCTGTAACTCCAGACACATCAATGAATGGAAGCCCCCAGAATGTGAAACAGGAATAGAACTGACAGGAAATGTGTTTGTCTAATGTAACTCATCATCAGATAAAAATACACTGCACAAGCTTTACATCACAGAGTAAAAGTTGCTTACCTGAGGTTTTATGAGGAACAATCAGGGCAGGTGTGATACAAAAACCAGAGGGAGCATGGAAAGGAATAACACAAATAAAGGAATTGAACTTACATTAAGGAAAACAGAGAATTTCTGTTTGTATTGCTTCCAAATAAGGTAGAACATTGCATTAATCTTTGGAAAAGGGATCAAACAGAGCAAGTGATTATTTAGAGCATAAGAGCGATGGCACCATTAATGGCATGAAACTAAAAAAAGAAAGAAAGAAATTTAAGATGAATGTCAGATAAGCTTCCCATCTATTAAGCTCAGTAAATAGCCTCCCAATGGAGATGCCACAATTAAACAGGACTGGAAGAAATATTGGTTAGTCTACAACAGGGAATAACTCTGCATAACAAAGCAGCTGGGCTGGCTGTTCTAATAGGCTTTTTTTCTCTCTTTAATGTCTGTGATTCTGGAGCTCTCAAGCTCAACTGAGTAGACCTCATAGTCCCTATCTAAGGGAAGTCCTTAAGAAACACCAAAAACAATATATCTAATCTTTTGATAGCTGTATAACAAGTCCCCTATGAAAACACATCTTGTTTTAGACACATTTATCTGTGTAGGAGTAGATAGAGATAGATAGACATGTCTAAAGAAAGATGTATGTGTTCAATAAAATACAGTAATAGTATGTGCTTGCTTGCCAGTAGCTTCATTACATTTCCCTCTGTTATCTCTAACACTTCCAGGCTGTGTCCACAACAGCTACGAGGAAACATCCACCTTCCCTTGCTTTCAGTGTAAACAGACAATGGTAACCTTGCCTCCTAAAGGCAATAAACAGCCAGAGAAGGCTGTTCTGCACACTGCATTCCACTCATTAACTGTGAGCCCTAGTAAATTATTCACAATCTGTGATAAAATAATGAAGATTCTCCCTTCTAGTGGAAGAGACAGACAAATTTAGCACTCTAGTGCAATCACATCTATCCTAAACTGGGGTATAAAACCTCACCTTTCTAGCTGAAAACCTCTCATGTACCAGCATTATAAAGCCCTGGTATGCTCAGGCTTACAACAAAGGGAAATGTCTGGAAGATCTGTTGTCCTCCTGGTAAACATGTGGAACTGACACCAACCTGCAGCCTTTCCACAAAGGAAATCCATGGCAGTGAAGATTTTGAGCCCAAATCTACTAATGTTAAGAGCTATCATCACAGTGAATGTGTTATCCACTCTATCTTTTATTCTATGCTTTCAAATGAGGGACAGGGTAAGAGAAGTGGAATAAAAAGTTCCACTCAATATCAGATTGCCATCCACTTGAGCCTTTTTCCACATATAATTTTTACAGGGAAAGGTAAATCAGATAAACTAGTAAAGTTCAGGCAAAGCATGCCAGGGATGTAGAGAATTGTGGCATGCCAGTAACTTTCAGCATATGTGAGGTACTAAACACACATATATCCATCCCTGAAATCAATGGCATTTGGAAAGATTGCTAAAGCCCATTGTCTAACAGTCAGAGGTTAAGGACAGACTCATCACCTCCTTGGGAAATGTTATTACTTGGGCAACATCTTGGGAAAAAGAAATTGTGCTCTTCGGAACAATTGTTCACAAAGGGTCAACTAAGGAAGCAGCAATAAAAGCTGACATTTCTCACTGGCAACATGCTGTTCGTCTCTGCTTGTGCTGGCAGGTTCCTCTGCCTCCCTCTGTTTGATGCTGATTCTACCTCATATAGTAGAGAAAGCTCAGCAGTTGGCCAGATCGAAGGGGAAGAGTTTTCAGCCTGAAACTGCTTGAAGTAGTTTTAGCTGCAGAATCTCTTTTCACCATGATGACCTAGTGAGAGCAGGTCCCTTGGCACAACGATTTTAACTTTGGTACAATTAAGACTGGTATTACCCCTCTTTAACTGAACTATGACAAATAATTTAATGCCCAGGCAAAAGCAAAATGATCAAATCTGGATAACTCTGCCAATGCTGAAGTACCGGTGCAAAGTGATACAAAAAACAAGAATATATTTTTATCCCTCTTTGGATTTCTCAGAATAGAGGGAGAAAAAATAAAAAATAGGAAGTTAATGTATCTGCTGGTGGTTCCCTGGATGCATTAATCTTAATATGTCAGGAAGGACTAGATATATGTGCCCCAAAATAAAAAATCCCTGACTGAAGGGTCACCAGGATGACACTGTGAACTCATAAGCAGATAAGATTTCTTCACATGCTTGGCTGAATCATCATTTTGCTTTTCATGGCCTGGTTGATTTTCTGATTTTCCACCCTTGCATGATTAATTACTTTTACATAATGTTGTGCTGGAGGTATCACTCTTGCTTTAAAGCTGCTTATTGGCATACATGAATAGATTAGAAGACCCATCTAGGAAAAGGAGGCAAGTAATTTCATGATCATTAAAAAGCAACTGTGGAATTCTTAATCTAACACACACACACAACTGCTAAGGAAGAGGCCACTAAATCACATGAATTAGGGAATGGACATGTCAAACCAAATTAAATCTCTGAAGTAATTTGAAAGTTTCACTGACTTTTGGCTTTTTTTGTTTTCTTTTTTTATGATCCTTTATATTTCATGGCTTCATACCAAAAACCACATAAAAATGGCTGAAACAGCTCAGGAATAACATGCAGCAGAAATCCCAAATGACTATATCATCAGAGTTCAATTTTGCAGCAGGGAGTACTTACTATGATTAAAGCTCAATATAAGCAAGTGACTTGCCAGCCTACATCACTAAACAAATTCCAAATTCACTCTCTCGGTGAGTTTGTTTATTTTTACTACCCAGCATACTGAAATCCTACTGCTTGCTTTTATTTACAAACCTAAAATCTCATGCTAAGTTCTTTCTGGGCAATTTATTTTTTATAATTTCTCCGTACAGGGCTTTCTACCTTCTGATGCATTTTATTCACAGGCTAATAAAGACTTGATTTTTCTGGTAACCATGGGGAGTCAGAAAAATGGTTTGGGAACTTTACACCAATGGTTGTGACTCCACCACTGCCCAGAGCCACCCAGCCCAGCCACACACAGGGGATGGAAGCCACTTGTGACCACTGCGAAGCAGAGAGAGCTCGCAGGGCTCTCTTAATGCAGAGAGCCACCATAATCTTCAGGGATTTTCATGGATTTGAAACAATTTTCATGCCTCCACAATGTGCCTAGGAGTTTTTGCAATTAGGAATTGAAAGGAAAGATCTCTTAGAGCTCTTTTCTCAATAAGGGATGCATATTCAACAGGAGAGGGGGAGCACGCTTGGCTTGGTGGTGAGCATCTGCCTTTATGCCAAAGCCCTGTAGGATCTAAGCAGCCAGGGAAACATATGGCAGGGAAACTTGTTTGCAAAGTGCTCTAAAATTAGTTCTTCATAAAATCCAGTTGGTAATTATTCATTAAAACACAGCCACAAAACATCTGACACCCGTGGTGGCAGCCAACCAACCGGTTTGTTCCCACTCTTGGATGTGCCACAAGCCAGCCAGTCCAGGCCAGCCCCGTGGCCATCAGGCAACTCTGAGGTGCTCACAGCTCCTAAAAGTGTTTGACCACCTGCTAAAAACCAAGGGAACACTGATGCTCCCCTGCTCTCCAAGTTGTTTTTATTCAAATAAAGCCGTTTCCTGTTCTGAATGAAAAGAGCTTTCATTTTGACATGAAAAATTTATTAAGTATAAACCACGCTGCTGGAGATGAAAACAATCCAGCTCCATGCACTGTCCTCTCCAGACGTTCCAGTGAAGTTCCTCTCAGGTTACCTCATTTCATGCATCATTTGGAACGTGCTACCAGCATGTAGCAACACCATAATTGCTGTAAGCTCTGCAGAGTCACTTCATGCATTATTTCACATTTACAGTTTGTTTTCTGTACATTATCAATTCTATTAACAGACTCTCTTCTGCTAAATTCCTATTGATCATTCAAGCCTGCACTGTGCATTTTGTTATTTCTGCATAGCACTACACGGGTTGGAGGGATTTTGTCCCAAAGCACTGCATTCCTGTTTCTACTCTGCTTGCCACTCAAAACTGCATTTTTTGCTTCTCCTCCAGAGCTTCGCTCCCCATGCTCACGGCACACAGGCTGCATCCAGACAAGTTTACAGCTACATCAGTTTGACTGACTAAACCAGGCATTTGGAATATTTGCTAAACAGTAATACTGAGAAGGTTAAATCTCAGCAGGGCTCTCAGACAGGAACTGCATCTTGTTGTCTCAGGTTAATCATGTACCTAATTTGCTGATTATTGACTTGTTCCCACAAAGGATTTTACTCGGCTTGACATGTGAGCACTGATCAGTGATGAACTGTCAAGCTGTTCACTGCTTTAGAGCTCATGTCCCTACCCTACAGAAACAAGGATTTTAAATTTCAATTTTAAAATATCGTCTGGTGTCAACTTCAGACTGTTTTCATTCATACAAAAGTATTGTGCTCCTTTCTGTCAGAACAAGGCTTCTTTTCACTAACTCAGGTCTGTAACAGCTTGCCTTTCTTATTCTAAAACAATTTCTCTTGGTAGCAGCTTGACTGAATTTTGATTGCTGGGTAAAAATGCCGTGGAATCTCCTGCTGTAGCACCCTATTAACAAGCACCAGGACCCTGCCTGATTGTGGGAAAGTTTATGCTGGTTTATATTGCAGATTCAGACCAGATCTATACTAGTTCATATAGAGCAGATTTCATAAACTCCACTTAGGAAGAGGTTTAGAACTGCTTCCTCTGAAGACTGGAAAACAAGTCCCCTGGGGAGGAATCCAGGTCAAGAAGAAACACAGATGATATTTCTCATTATTTAATTTACCAGAAAGGTCACAAAATTTCTATTCTATCCATGTGAAGTGGAGTGAAAGAAAAAACCCTGCCTGATCACAGCCTTCTCAGATGAGAACATCATAATGAAACCTAGAACAAATACATCTGATCATACTGCAATATAAAGTTAATCCTGAATTTAAAAAAACGTATTTTGTACTACCAGGTACTTCCAACTGGATTTCTTGTAAAAGATACAGGCATATCTCTCTCTTTGTCATCTGCAAAAAATTGAAATTAACCTGTATTTATAGCAAACTTTGATGATTGCTTCGGAGCTTTGGTAGCCCTAAGTAATTTTCACTTCATGATTTATACTTTTGTTTGTTCTCCTCAACTAAATTGCCATTTTATTCTTGATAGAATAGGGAAAGGGAGCACTAAAATTCTGAATTAAATGAGACATGTGCAATGAATGATGCCATTACCTCACTGGAACAGCTGAAGATCCACAGACATAATTTCACCCTCAAGACAGCATATTGAATGAAGCCTTACGGACAAAATCAAAACATTCTTAAGAAAGGCTCCCACCCTGGAACATTTTCTCTGAAGATATATTTTTGTGCTGCCTGGATGGCTGGAAATGACTGAAAATCAGTCAACAGCCTTCTGCAATTTCCCATTTTTTAGTCTTTGTATCAAATTTCAGGACACCATATGCTAACATGGAAAACTGACCACATGTCCTCCCCTCCTTGGGCTGTGCACTGCTGATCCTGGTTTCTTACCAGTCAAACACACCCACTCAGTAACTCACAGAACACTGGAAAACAGCTTACCACAGTAAACTGATGAATTTTTCACAGCCAAAGCTCCTTCTGCACAAATTCTTAGAAGCAGAGGTAATAAACCCATATCAACCTCCTCACTCCTTTACTCCTGAGTCTAATCAAAGGTTTTGGTCCTCAACTCATCCTTTTTGACTCATAGATAACTGGACAGTTCTATCCCAATTTGTGCCAAGATTATACCAGAGATTTAAAACCCCCTTTGAATGGCAGAGACATAATTACTTCTTTTATAAATGTATTGTTTAAGTATGTAACAACCTGAAATTGTTCAGATGAAGGTGGTTCAGTCAAATATCACAAATGAAGGAATTCAGGAAATCCCTCCATTTGAATTCTGTAAACTCCAAAATAAACCTAATGAAGATGACCTAGATTTTACATTCTGACATTCAAAGCCAACAAACACATTGATAAAGTACCTGGGCATGTGATGGTGGGAGTCCTCTTCTTATATAAACACCAAAAAGAGCATCCTTCCCTAAGGATATGTTGAACTTCAGGAACTGTGGCTGGCTGATATGGATCTGAGACCTCCAAAAAACTCCGGGGGGCACCTCCTGGGTGACCCTGTGGCCAACTTCTGTTTCTCCACTATCTATGCTGCTATTCCTAGTGACCCATGGTCCTATAAAACAAAAGCAAATATAAATCAAATGAGATAACTGGCTTTAATACAGGTAGTTTTATTCATTCAAGATGAACATCTGTGGCAGTGACACCTCTTAAATCAAACTGTAACTTTTTTATTCTAATGCAATCTGCCTGCTGTTTCAATCAGCATGTAAGAATTTGGCCCTTATATTTGAAACAAAACCTGTGCAAACCTTTTCTTCTGTGGAGCATCAGCAATCTTCTCATCCCTCAAACACTTTAATTCTGTGATTGCTCCTCACTGATCAAACAGCAACAGCAGAGAGTCAATTAAGCACATGTGAATCCCCCTGTGCTCTTTTCAGTTGCATCTTCTACACAACCAGGGTATAAAAATTGCCAGAAAGGTGAACTGAAGGGTAACTTCAATCTAAATGAACTGATTACAAGTTTTTATTACCACTGTTTTCTTTACTAAAGTAGTCCAATAAACTTTAGGTCACAGACAAGAGAGTTGACAGAAGACATGAAATGCCCACAAAAGGGTTTAGAGGACAATTTCTGTACTCTAACGTACTTCTTCTCCTTGAAACAGAGTTAGCACAGCTCAGTGCAGTGCCTTTTAAGTTCCCTCTGCCTGAAGCAGGGTCTATCTATGAGTCTTTTTCCCTTGTGCTGTGGTTAGTTAAAATCCATCATTTGATGGTTTTTCAGCATGCATTATTGAAGACAAGATACAAGACCTTTCTGGTTGAGTGCTCTGGCTTTCAGCCCATGAAATACTCAACCCTTAAAATATGGTGCAAATCCCTTCTGTTCTCAACTGAACAGGTTCTGAGGCTACACATATTTTAAACATGGAGTGCAGAACACGGAGTTAACAGTGTTTTTAAGCTACAATATGCAGCAACGTTTGATTCTGTGTTTGCATTCCCAAACAACATGGTGAGAAATCCATTTAAAAAGTCTTACAACAGACACTATAACAAACCAGGAACCCACAGAAAATATCTGTTAGCATTCACAGAAATTTAAAGGTATCACTAATACCACTATTACCACAGACTGGATGGTAGTGATACCTCTGATACAACCTGACAGCATTTGTAAAAATGTCAGTGTTTACTTCAGGGGGGGTTTTCTGCTGTGGTGGAATGCTGTTTTCAATAAATGGCAAGTTACTTTTGAAATATATCCCAGCCCTGTATGAATGTAATGGGATGGCACAGAACAACATATAATTCCAGCAGGTAAGTACATAACAGCTTTTCTGTCTTGACTATCTTTAATTGAGAGAACTGCAAAAGCACGGTTTCAATTATAGATTCTAAATTATCTGTGTTAGCAGCACTTACACTTGTACATAATGAAACAGATACTATGTTGGCAGTGTTTTGAAATGGTAAAAGAATGCTCTGAATACCAACTGCTATACAGTTTCTGGCAACTTTTCATTTCCTATGTTAATGGGTCTACAATAACATCACAGCACTAACAAAGAAAGCAGAAGAAGCTGCAACAAGAGGCTGCAAAGAAAGGAAAAATGGCTGAGAGTGTCAAGCAATGTGCCCTTAGAGCCTCCAGAAATGTGGAGAGCAACCAGATCAAAACACGTCCTGCTTCATGGAAACGACAGGAATTCATTTCTAGTGGATTACTGCAGCAGAGGATATCTCAAGGTTCCTATCTCAATGAAGGCAGGCATCATCTCACCAGAATTTAAATTAGTTCTTACCCACCCATACAGAGGGGAAAACCAGGGACAGAGAAGACACCAAAAATCACCCTTGGCATGTTATGCTGGAAGCACTGGCAGAGCTGGGAAATCAGCAAAAGACTGCAGGCACCTTCACCTCCTTTAAGAACATTCCATTTACTGCACAATTGCAACATATGGTAGTAAATGATGAATATTTTTTCAGTATTCTTAGAATAATTTTTTTTGGAAGAAGACTAAGCATTCTTTAATGAAGATCAACTGTATCTAAGATGCAAAAAGCTCCTTGACACACACTAAAGAACCTTGTTCTTCAGGAGCAATATATCCATAGCCAACCAGTCAAAGAAAAAATCATTTCCAGGAACTATTATTATTCAGTGTACCAATTGTCTGTAGCATGTGCATGATAAGACCACAGTAGTCTCTGCTGGTAGTTATAGTTTCACAGGCTATTAAAGCAACTCCAAAAGTGTCAATGGCTTTTTGCTAATTATGTATATATTCTCTAGAATTGTAACCTTGTAAATAAATTTAATTCTAATGGAGGATCAAGTTTTAGCATTTCTGGATAAATTTTGCCTCAGCTTCCTTTGGATATCCAGAGTTCTGCTCTGTATTTCTCTCTGGAAAAAGGCATTTTTCAGAACTCAAGGATCCTCAAATACATCAATTAAGCTAAAATAATAAAATTTCAGCCATCAGGCAAACCAGAGTTACATTCATACTATTTCAGCATGCAAAGGTGAAAAAATATATATTATTTTAGCTTAATTGATGCATTTGAGAATGTCACCCTTTCCCCAAAAATACTACTGGAAGACCACTCCTTTGTATTTCTCATCAAAATGTTGAAGTTATCATGGTGAAATAAAAATTGGTGAAAACTGCAGAGAAGACAATTGAATTTGTAGTTATTACTGAGCCTAGAGACATGATTCAGGTTCCTAACACTGAAATGATTCTGTTCACTTTGATGCTATCCTTGGAAGCATCTCCCCACAGATGCTCTGCTTTATTTTGTTCTACAACACAAATGACCTGGTTTCCAGTTCTCCAAACCATCCCTCCTGGAACATCTTAGGAAAATCTCCCCTAGAAGGGAATTGTGACAGGGGGCCACCACAGCAGGGGATTTTAAGAGCAGGTTAGATGATCACAAGTGATGGAGATCAGGTTATTTAACCTGAAGCAAAGAATGGGGCAGATGGGTGACTCTTTTCAGTCTGTATTTCTGTAGTGCAGCTCCATACCCAGCCTGTGTCACAGCTGCAAGGAACAGCTGCTGCCTCACCTCTGGCATGCTGAAAGGATCCCTTCCTTTTGCTTTTAAGAATTTAATTCATGATATCCTGTTTTTATGGAGCTACATTACAATGCTGTAATAACAAAATTTAGAAATGCTTGAAGTTAAACTAAAATCTAAGTTTTGCAAGCTTAGCTAACAACTTATAAAGTTTTAAATCCAACAAGATATCAATAAACTCTAGATTATGCATTATTGAATCATGCTCTCATAAATTCCTGTTGAGTTACCCTTGTTGGTATGAGGCACAAAACTAGAGACAGCATCCTTGTTCTGCTCCTTGCTCTGATACTGCCAGTACACCATGATCTTGCTGCTCTCAGATGCCTACTTGTAAAACAGAATTATTAACAATGACAGAATTATTAACCATTCTCACCTTGAAGATGAGGAAGGCAGAGCAGTAAATATAAATATTACAGGAAGTGTATCAACACTGGCCTCTTCCCATTCCTTCCTCCCCAGGAAATAAATACAGAGTAGATACAAATGCAAAGTAGATATGGCCACTGAATCTGTCTTAGTTAATAGGCTAAAATTTATCTTTCTTCGACCTGAAAAGCAGACCATCATCCTAGCTTTGGTATCTGCAATGCATTTTTCTGCACTAACAGCTTCACTGGCAAACCCTGTCACTAGAGACTCAAACTTTTATTGTAGCTCCCTTCACTCCTCACCTCCTAATGCAGAGAATGTATCTTGCCACCTGACTCACTCCCCCTCAGCTATTTTTAGAAGCTTTTCCATGTGATGGACCACTGCAGATCACATTCAAAGAGCATCAACTACATTTAAGTGAAGTTACAGATGTGACAAACTGACAAATCTGTGAAGAAAGACTAACCCAAACTACTCATACTGCTGTGAACAAATGAATCCCAAGATCATTCTCTCTGTTGTGGGTGACTGTTGTAAAGTTCCATGTTTGTCTCATAACCCCATAGATACTTGATTTTTTTTTCCCCTGTCATTTTCTCTCTATAAACATCTACAAAAGAGTTTTAAAAGCATACTTCTTCATCTTACCCAGGGGAGCCATTTCAATCACTCAGTCAAACATATATTCATCAACTAAATAACACTTACTCATTTAAACTGCTGTTTTATTTACCCAGCTGAATTACTATTTTGGCATATACATTTGAAAAGACTGTTTTAGCATTCAAGAGTATTTGCCTTTGAAGCTATCAGACAGGCAATCCATGACAACAGCAATGCAAACTCCCCCTGCTAAGTTGTCAGCAGGTCTCATCTGTGAGCTGGAGGTCAGATTCAAGGTGGCAGTGGATGGGACATGCCCAGTCAGCCTTTAATTTAACTGATGTCAAGCAGTGTCAGCTATGCAGGCAGAGCTGTATTTACACTGAAACCAGATATACTTGATTATTTATAACTACAGTATCCTACACTGTAGCTAAAATTAAAAATAAAAATGAAATCTGGCTACCAGCAGTGTCACACTACAGACATCACATTTAAACAGCAATTAACTCCAGTCCTGTGACTGTGTGCCTCTATCATGGGGATGACTGCAAATTGCATCTTGATAGCACTCTTGAAAAATATCTAGCAGAATAACCATTCCAATGGATCAGAAATGAACTACCAAGATAATGTGGACAACCTCAAATTAAATACAAGGAATGAATTCCACCAGGGTTGGTTAAATTTTCTTTAACTTCTTTTCCTATAATTCTATATTTCTTATAAATCACTGCTAAAAACATAGCTTACCTTTTTTTATCTAGCTTATTTTTCTGTTGTTCTTTTTATATAGCCAGGGATTTTCACAGATGACTTGGAATTCTAAAGAAATTTATGGTACAGCTGTGTAAAGGAAACCATTCAATATAAAAATAGACTGCACTGACTTTTTGCCAAAAAAGATCTTGTGAGAATTACTATGGTTCTTCAAAATAATTTAACTTTTTTCCTTAGGTAAATTTGCTACTTATATGACCAGACATATCTTATTGTTCCAGAAAGGCAAATAAAATAAAGTAGAAAATGTCTTTTCTATACAAATTTCTTCAGTGGAAAAATCAGTGCTATGCACTGTTACCATACTGACAACTCCCTATATGAACTTACACTTCAAATTATCTAATATCACCTAAGTGCCCTAGGACTCAGGTGAGAACAGATTATTTCTGGAATGTGTACAATAGATTGACTGCTACTGCAAAACAAATTCCCTCAGCTGCAATGAGCTAAAAAGCCAGGCAATGACAATTTGTCAGGAGGAGCTGCTGTGGCACATTTGAACTTCAGTTCTGCTGCAGATGCTGAGGTACCAATGAGCTCTGTTTTAGGAAGAGAGGAGGAAGGAAGCTTCTGACTGCATGAGCTTTCAGAAATCCAGGAAAACAGCTTCTGGTACAAAAACAAAACCTCAGGTTGTCTGGTCAGAAGCCTAAATTTCTATTGTGGCAAGAGGGAATAAAAAGAGGAAATCCCTTTGAAGAAGGGAATGTCTGTAAGAATGTCTGTAAGAGCCTGGCTCTGGGTCAGCTGCAGCCAGTCAGCGTGGCAGTGAAATGAAGTCTTTTGCTTTTAGTAAAATATGACAAATCTGATACACCTAAAAATTCAGGCACATCTTCACATTCATGTGGGCTTCACGAGAGTCATTGCTTTCAGTATCAAAAGCAAACTATAACTGAAATAAAATTAAGTTCTGTTGGTTCATTGCATTTCACAAAGAGCAAATACATACTGGGATGGATTTCTAAATCAGGATAATAATCATCTCTGATGGCATATACCAAACTTCATCACCTGACTTTGAACAGAGCAACTCACACTATCACCTTAACAAACCCACAAATCTAAAATTCCTCTTCTGTTGAATTTAGCCAAATCCTTTGCTTTTCTGAGACAACCCTTGAGTCTGGGGTATTTTCAGAAGACCACATCTGCAAGCCTTCACAGCCTCCATCTTAACAGTTCTGCTTGCTAAGTTGTTAATTAAGACCTACATTACATTAGCCACATAACTACTTAATAAGATTAATCCACCTGGAAAACGATGGCTCGTCTTGATTAAGCTGGATGAAGGTAGCAGAAGTGACATTTAAAACACATTGGCTGTTATTCCATTCTGATCGTCTGTCTGGCAGGAAACAGTGGAAAGCGAGAGATTCATGTTGTTTACATTGTTAATGAGGGATGAGTTTATCTCTTACAAGACAAGGAGATGCCTGCAGCTGCTGCCGAGCCCTTCCAGCGTGCGCAGGGTCGCTTTCAGCGGGAGCGCGGCCGGGGGCAGCAGCGGTGCCTCAGGCAGAGTCAGGAGCTGCTCTCTTGGCATCTGAAGCCCAGCTCATCCTTCTGTCAGGATGGCACATCCTCCCCTTTCAGAATCTTGTTACTCCTTCAGCACTGCCCGTGAGCTGCATTGCTAATAAAATCTCGGAACTATTGGAAAACAAGTTGTGTGCGAACCGAAACGTGACTCGCAGCTGCAGCATCTGGCAGAGCTCTCAACATGGTTTGGAGAGAGCTGGAGACAACCTGTACAGCTCCACAATGACTGCTGAGCTCAGCTACCCACACCCATCCAAGGCACATTGCTGCTACATCAGTACAAATCTGCTTTTCCTCTCTCTCATCTCCAGCGAGTGAGATGGTGCCAAATTTAACAGCTAATTAAACTTTCTTCCTTTCGTTATTGACATTATATTTGCAATACTGAATTTGATATCTGGAAACAAGCATTTTATATGACACTTCTAATATTTAATAACTCTAATATTTTTGAAAAAGCCTTTCTGAAATCCACACACACTGTGGTAGACTTTGTGAAGTACCTCAAAGTGAGCATTAACTTGGATCAGGTTGGTTCATCCAAAGACAAGCAAACCCTGGATTATGTGAGTAGCAAAATACAAATTCATATCAACTTTTTCCAAATAGTCAGTGCATTTATTGTACCTAAAGTGATCTTTCCACAACTGTCCACAATTATTTTTGGTGTCTTTTAAAATAGGAGGTTCTAGAATCAGAGATCACAATCTCTTCCTGTGTTTTTCAGCTCTCTAGAACATTACTATAGCAAATAATCAACATAAAAAATACTAAGTCAATATTTAATTACTAGAAAATTCGCTAAATCAAAGACAATATACCCTAAACAAAAAAGTTGATACTAAAGCATTCTTTATATGGGTTTTCAGCAGGGGTTAGTTTGGATATTTCCATATAAATTGAAGGAGATCTTAGGTGTCCTCTGAAATTATTAAAGTTGAATTTACAGCATATTCTGTCAATTAGAAAGGAAACATAGTCATAGATTTTATGGAAATGTGTATCTAGCCCACCACATAATTTTAAATGTAGAAAACTTTTGGCATAGATTCACGGAATTCAGGCACAGATAAATCCCATAAGATCATCTATTTCATTTATTTTTGAAGAAGCAATTATTCCCAAACATGCCTCTTTTCTTTTTCCCCCACTTTCCCCTTAATTTAGATTTATTACACCCAAATTCTAACATTATCCTTACACAACCTAAGACATACATAAGAGATAAATGGGCTTCACTCTCAGAAGGATTTTTTAATGTCATTACAATCTATCTCATCCCTGTAGAAATTCCAAGGCAGTATCAGGTTTTGGGGTTTTATACACTATGAAGGGATGCTGCCTTATGATCTCTATTAAGAAAGAAATTTTTGTCTCCTAATTTAAATCCCTAGTTGAACATAACTTTCACAGCATGGTGGACTTCACTTGCAGTTTTAAAGCAGCACTGAGGATTGTTCTGCCCATTGCTCTTGCCTCCTCCTTTCAGACATACCCACTATTAGTGAGATGTAGTGTGTAATTACAAAAAACCTGAAACTGTGTTATCTTAATAGTGAATTTTGTTTTCATTCAGATAGGAAAATGCAGTAATAAAGTAATTTACATTCCTCTTAAATTGCAGTTTTATTATTTCCTACCAGAATTTAGTCTCTTAATAAGGAACAGGCAGATCAAATTGAATACCTGCTTTTTTTTTTCTCTTTTTTTTTTTTTTTTTTTTTTTTTGCTTGCTGAGTAGGCACAGCTTGTGTTTAAGTGGCCCTTCTCAGACTAGGGGTTAAAGGTTTCTTTGGGAGACCCTTGTTTTGAAAAGAATGGCTTCATCCTGAGTTGTGTCAATTATAGAAAGGTCACTCTCCACAGCCAGAGCCCTGAAATGGTTGTTGTGTTAAAAGCTGTCAGAGGCTTTCCTAAAAACTGCTGGGATAGCAATATTAACTTGGACATAATAAAAAGAAAGGTGAGGTAGAAAAACTTTTCTCCCTTCCCTGCTCTAAGAATTTGTCTTTTCGATATTC